CACCTGTTCGCCTTATTCAAGACAAACTGAAGAGATTTGCAGAAATCCTTCGCCGTTTATTTTATATAAAATTTATACATCCGTAAACATTCTCTCGTGCACTCCCGTGTAAATTATTCAGACTTCCTCCTGCAATTCATTGCCACACAAGAGCTGCGAAAGCTGATTTAAATCCATTATCGTGAAGTGCAAAATCTGTAACACCTCCGCAGATCATTTAACATTAACTGGTATTAACGTTCCTTAGTTTCCTTAGTGATTTAGAGGCCGGGGAGGCGAACGCAAATGGTATTGTGGTATCAGAGGCTGAGGAGGGCAGCTGGCATTGTGGTATCAGGCTAGGGAGGGCGGAGGCAGATGGTATTGTGGTGGGGAGGGAGGAGACAGCTGATATTATAGGTTCAAAGGCTGGAAAGCTCGGAGGCAGCTGGTACCATCAGCCAGAAAAAGATGTGTTTGAGTGTGCTCAAGATTCTTTCACGCGTTTGAACTGCTTAGTGCTGACTATGTCAACACAGCTTTTCACTTCGTCAAGAATTCTTTATATGAATGTCTAGATTGAAATGCTCACTTGCCCTCCGAAAAAAAAATGCTTTACAAATATTTCCTGATTAAAAATTGGCTTGATTATTTCCTCTCTCGTTTATTTACGGTTTCACTTAAGGACGAAAAGTAATGGACCCGAGCCAAGACTCCGGTAAAGGTAGCTGCTTGTTAATTTTTTTTATTTATTTCTCCCCCCTCAAGGGAGGTTCCTTGACGCTGGTGAGGGGGTCTTGATCTAGGGAATTGGATCAGTGCTTCGGTTCCCTGAATCGAGCCTGAATACCTTCCACCCCCTACCCCCCAGTGCGCTGTATAATCCTGCGGGTTTAGCGCTCTCCATGATTATAATATTAATACCAATTGCTCCTTGCTCATTTGTTGTTTTGGTTTCCATATTATTTACATTAGTGGTTGACTATGTGGCAGCAAGAGCTCTCCTTAGTTTTTTTTTTCTATTTTTTTTAAATAGTCATAAAATTAATATTATAATTACAGCTTCTATCATATAACTGTCTTCAAGAGTTTTTTTTTTTTTTTTTTTTTTTTTTTTTATATCGAATTCATTTAATGTTTATTTGTTGTTGTACTAGGGAGCAAATACACGTTACTAAAAATGCATCTGTTACCGTCAGCATTAATCCAACTTAGAGTCCTATTCAGGTTTTTGAAAATAATTCTCCTATTTTCTTTTCGTTTAGCTTTAACGTTGGCCAGTTAATTAAATAGGCCATGAACATTGTCTCACCTGACAAGAAGCCTCGGAAGTCTTGTGAAATAACGCAGATGGGATCAGCAACAAGGCCAATGAACTTAATGAATGAGTATCACATGACAATTCAGACATTATAGCAATCACAGAAACGAAAACAAGTGGTCAGCAGTTGAAAACAAAATACCCAGGAGGATACCAAATAATAGAAAGACATACCAATGAGAGACAGAGGCATGAACAACACTCGAGGGAAAAAATTAGAGATGTGAAGAGCTGAGAGCACCAATACACCCTGGATCTAGAGGCTTTGTACAAGAGGCAATCGCAACAGCACCCAAGACATGGTTCTTAATAACTCGCTTCCAGATGTAAGATCATTGTTCTATATAACTCACCAACAAATGTAAGACCACCAAGACAGGATTACTTAGACTGAAATGAGGATTTGAGGATGTGAATTTTAAGAGTACCTAGTGTAGGATTATGGTGAGTAGGAGGAAGAGGAGGGAAGGGAAAAAATGCATAGGGACCAGATGAACAATGTACAGGATCGGCAACTGATGCACTTTAACGGTCATTATACTCGGATACACTACTACGTAAGAACCTTTTAATCACTTGTTTTTCACTGTGGGGTAAAACCAAGATCTGGTTACACAGCAGTTGCTGAACCAGTTAAGGAGTTGTTGCGTGAATAAAACCTGTAATTTATTTTATTTAATACTAACAATTTAATAAAACAAACTCGCAACACTTGGGTATCTTTGTGCCTAAACGTTTCGACTGCTCGACAGGATTTTTCAGTCGAATGTAGAGGTGATTTTTAACGACTGAAGTGCAGAGAATTTTTGAGGTGTTCAGCCTTGAGAAGTGTTCAGTCCCTTAACACTGAAGGAATGATCCAAGGAATTAGAACTGATCCTCTCCTCCTTGGATCGAGATTGACTACGTCCCATTCCTCCGGACGTTGACTCCTACGGGCTTAGTGTTCACTATAAGCGTAATATACACTAAGTACATGTGACTACTGAGGATAATACACTACGTACATGTGACCACCGAGGATAATACCACATACATGTGACCACTGAGGATACCATGTACATGTGACCATTGAGGATAATACCACGTACATGTGACCACTGAGGATAATACCACGTACATGTGACCACTGAGGATAATACACACGTACATGTGACCACTGAGGATAATACACACCACGTAGATGTGACCACTGAGGATAATACACACCACGTAGATGTGACCACTGAGGATATTTGCAACATTGAATTTGCTTACTTGCAGCCTTGTAGTTTACATACAAACTTGCATGTTTTCTTCCAGCCTTTAATTCATTTACTTGAAGCCTTGAATTTGTTTACCTGGTCTCACACTCGTGCCAGAAACCTCGTGTTATTCCAGAAGACAAAAAGGCTGGGTTTTCCTCGAGTGTTGACTGATCCTGGTATAATACGATCATCCTTTTACTTGAAAGATTATCCACATCTATGTCAACTGTTATTTCCTAATCACACACTCCTTCTTCCCCTGAAAAAAAATGGTTATTCGTATCTCTTGTGTTACTTTAATTTCTTTCTTTTCTCTAATGAAACGTGTATTTATAGGGGTATGTATCCCTGTAATGAGTTTTTTTCCAGACATATATTTCTCCTGCATTATAAGCTTGTAGATGAATGGTTCAGAGAACCGACATGTTGAATTAGACACGTGTGCAACTCTTGGGTATCTTTAGTGAGGAAACGTTTCGCCACACAGTGGCTTGATCAGTCCATACAAAGGAGAAACTTGAAGAACAGGAGGAGAATGAGGTAATCAGTCCCTCAGCCTTGAGTCGATGTGGTCAAGATTGATGGACTGACCACATCGACTCAAGGCTGAGGGACTGATTACCTCATTCTCCTCCTGTTCTTCAAGTTTCTCCTTTGTATGGACTGATGAAGCCACTGTGTGGCGAAACGTTTCCTCAATAAAGATACCCAAGAGTTGCACATGTGTCTAATTCAACAACATTATAAGCTTAGTTACCTAGAAGAGTGCTCTTAAGCCTGGGTGACTCGTCACCCTGAGTTCACCCAAGCTAAGGCCATGGATGACCTGGTTAGCTGGGGTGACCCAAGCTAGAGCCAGAGATGACCTGCTGGCTGGGGTGATCCAAGCTAGGGCCAGAGATGACGTGACTGGGGTGACCCAAGCTAGGGCCAGAGATGACCTGGCTGCCTGGCGTGACCCCAGCTAGGGCCAGAGATGACCTGGCTGGGGTGACCCCAGCTAGGGCCAGAGATGACCTGCTGGCTGGGGTGACCCAAGGTAGGGCCAGAGATGACCTGGCTGCCTGAGATGACCCAAGCTTAAGGCCAGAGATAACCTGGCTGGCCTGGGTGACCCAGGAGAGAGACAACAGTTCGGGAAGGTGCAGGGGTTTAAACTTTAACAATGTCACTTGAGTCGTAGTGATGAGATGAACTTTACAAGAAGTAGACTCATTCTTCTGAAGCTTCAACTGTGAGGAAACTTCTCCATATCTGAAAAAAAAAAATTAGTTTCGTCATTGCAGCTTTCCTTTCTGATTTAAAGGAAAGCCTGAAATTGTTTCCCTGATGAACAAATGATGATCCAAGTGAAAAATGAAGGATTTTTGTGATGAAGCACAACCTGTCATCTCGCGTACAAATAAGGATGCTCTCCTGTACCTTACTGCATAAGTTACCCAGAAGCTTATCTTCGCTGGAGCATTATACTTACTATGGGGATTTCTGGGTGTGTGTGCTGAAAATGCATGAATGTCAAAACGAAGAAAATGTCCGTTTTCTTTGAAAATGCAAGTTTTTTTTTTTCATCTGCTTTATTGCAGCTTATTGTAATAGATACTAAATATTGGCTACCTTGTCTTTCGTGTGAACGCCTATATATTGGTTCGAAGTCAAAATGACAGCGTCTGGAATCGTATCTCTGGAGAAAAAAACAAGTATACAAGAGGATAGCTAGGAGAGAATGGAAAGTCCATAGGAAGGGGAAAAAAAAGGACGGAATTTTTCGGAAATTGGGAGATGTTGCCGGTGTGGGAGGGGGAAGGGAATTTAGAGGTGGGAGGGGTGGTGTACGGGCCTGGAAGAAATATTACATTAATTTTGTGCGGAGGTGGTGCAATTCAAGAGATAGACGAGAGGAGGGGCTGGAGAGAAGCATAGGGGGAGAGGCTGAAGAAAAGAGGAGAAAAAGAGGCAGAGGAGAAGCTGAAAGAAACCGTAGAGGGGCAGAAAGGAAAGAATGTATCAAGAACAGAATGCAAAAATTTTAGAGAATGCAAAAAATTTTAGAAATGCAAAAATTATAGAGAAATATCTGTGCCTAGAGAAATTGAAAAAAAAATGGGGAACAAGGGAAAGGGTTAGGTACTGCATAAGGTGACGAGATAATACGAGACTACAGGTGGTGGAAGACAGGCAAATATAGGTTCAAGGATGATGACTACACTGTACAGTATTTTTTTCTACAATTTACCCACGGCTCCCCGAAGTTTATGAATCAACAACCAGGTTCGGAATATCAACATTGTTAATATTCTCCCCAGGAGTTTCTCACCCTTACATTGCATAAACAAAGTTTTTTTTCTAACCAGTTCTTCACACTAAAACTCTTTTCATTCTAAAAATATGCATTTGTTGACGAACCTTATTAACTCGTTCCTTTCCTTAAAATATTTAATTTATTCCCTTGCCAGGAAGTTCATGGAGGAGTTACCCCTGACTTGACTACAACTGTAAGATACAAAGACGTGAGGCGAGTAAGTTAACTCCACTTTGTGGGTCACTATAGTCTTGCACTTCTTTGGGGAAACCTTTGTATCCTAGTTTTTTTTTCCAGTGTCGATATGTCATCTAAACTGACTGTTAGCTACCTGTTGAATAACTTTAAAAGTTGCCGTATACTGTAGGTGTTCATTTGTTTCAACATTCACAAACATTGTTTCTTAATGTAGTAGAGTGTTTCTCGAAATCGAGGGTGAAAGAAAGCCAGTGATGAAAGCTGTCTCCCCTTTATATATTTATATATATATATATATATATATATATATATATATATATATATATATATATATATATATATATATAATTTATATATATATATATAATTATGTGTATGTCATGCCGAATAGGTAAAACTTGCGATTTTGGCTTAAATAGCCACGCTCTTCTTGTCGAATAAGACAAGTGAAAATTTGTGTATGCAGTAATTTCGAAAAATCATTCTGAACCTAACGAAAAATATGTATTTCATTGTTTATTATAATAAACAACGAAATACATATATTTACTAATTATTGTAAACTTATCTAATATATATTTAGCTGGATTACGCTAAAGTAAATAGCGTTTGTTATAATAACGTTAGGTAAATTTTCTAAGGTTCTTTTGGTACAAAATTGTTAAGTTTTTACATTAACATAAATGAAAAAATATGTATCTTTAAACGTATAGGAGAAAATTTTAGGAAGGACCTAATAAATGAGTTGTTGCTACTTGGCCAATTTTACCTATTCGTCACATTACACACACACACACACACCACACACACACACACACACACACACACACACACACACACACACACACACACACACGAAGAGGTGTCATAAGGCTCATGGAGCAGGGAGTGTGTGGACTAAGCGACCAGTGAAGAGGTAGGGCCAGGATCTTTGACTCGACCCCTGCAACCACAACTAGGAGAGTGCGCGCGCACCATAGGCCAGGAGCTGTAATTCGACCCTGCAACCACATATAGGCGAGTACAGTGAATGAGATAACCTTTTAGCATATGATAGAGGATGTGGAGGATAGGTTAAATGAAGAGAAAGATAAAGAAAATATTTTGGAGAAACGGGATTTTTCATGAAGATACAAATAGGGTGACAGAAGACATAGCGACTGGAGAAAGAGAAGGATGTAGATAGTTGCCATTTTCTTGGCAGGTCAAGATGAGGTGGGAGTGGAAATGGTTAGAAACTATGTTATGCAAGAATCGCGAATAAGCGACACAATGCAAAACGACAACAAGGGGAGTTGAATAATAGCTCTAGGCCTTTCGTGTTGCAATCAACACATCAGTAGCAAAGCGTCCCTCGGAACGAATCTCCTGAGAATTTTACTAATTTCTGCAAATTTGCAAGCTCCTGATGTGTTGCAACACGAAAGGCCTAGAGCTCCTCAACTCCCTCTGTGGCTGTTTCGCATTCTAACCATTTCCTCTCCCACCTCATGTTTGACTAGGGTACGAAAGGGCGGTCAGTCAGACAAAAATATGAGAGCCTGAGGCATGGAGAACCTGAGTGCAATGAACGAAGACAAATGCGTGAATAAAAAGATGTATATTTGTTGGGAGAGCTGGAAACAGTGAATGAACTGATAAAGTATACTCCTGAGGAAACGAATAAAAGGTTACTGCAGTGCAAAAGCAAACATTCTTCTGATGGGATCTTGCAACTTTTTTCGACATAGTACAACAAAAGATCTGATGCAGGAAGTACAGTAATAAACAGTAGTGAACAACGGTGAACAGGAGAAAGTTCTCTTACCTTGAGATGAGATTTTTTGCTTCAAGTCTTAATTCACTTAGTCTGTTTCACTGAAATCTCTAGATTTGTCACCGTTCTCTATATTCTCTCTGGATATTTAGGAACCCAAATTCAACATCACACTCAATTTGCGGTCTGAGGATCACACTGTAGTTTTACAACTGTTTCTCGCGTCTTGTGCTCAACGTTTATAAATACGAAACGTAGGATGCTGTAGCTTTGCTGCTCGGGCGAGACGCTGCTTAATGTACCTAGTCACTGGTAACCACTTGTTCTTCATTTGCTTAAGTTGGGTAACTGGTTTTGGAATATTGTGTATTTGTGGTTAGCCTTGCATCTATAACTAAAATACTTTTTTACATAAACTGACTGAGGTCTCTGAATACTTGTACGATCGTCCAGACATGAGGCAAGTTAACTTAATATTGTCATCGTAGAACTTCGAGTTTTTCATATTAGCCAAGTTTCTTGAACATTTTTGTAAATTACTGAAAGAACTGGGCTGGGAGTGATCCCTGATCTATTTCTTACGTTCACCCACTTTCCTTTCCCTGTTAATAAGCTCATCAGTGAGTCAGCCCTAATGTTTGCCTCCTGTAAAGTGCTCTTTTTTTTTTTTTTTTACCGACCTGCCTTTTGTATGTTTCTCTGTATGCTTTCTGGAAATCAAATTATAGTACATCTGCGGGAATCTTTTTAGAGTTCCATTTACTTGATTACTTTCAGGAATTTGCGACCTTGTTAATAATGGTTTCCATTAGATCTTTGACACTGTCAAACCAGTAGATAATTATTAGTGTGTGTGTCGTGTGTGCGTTGATGAATAACTGAGTTATGTTAGAGATTCCCGTCTTATGGTACGTTACTTTCTCCTCGTAATTTATTAAACTTTCTCTTACATCATCTTCGATCACATTTTTTTTTAATCCTATTCCTCGTTCCTTTTCCCCATTCCCCTCAACCCAGCAACACCAGCTACTGAATGTCATACAAGTTAAACTGGTATTTTCCCAGCACAAACTTCAGACTTAACCTAGCATATCCCTTTCGCCTAACAGATTTACATTCCCGCCGCCACTATTACCACCACCACCGTCACCACCACCAGAGAAGTTGTAGGTATGGGGCTGGAATGAAGCACAGCCGTCCATCACTCGAATTGGAAGTTCTTCCACCCTCCTGTGACGCAAATGTTAGGTGAATGTGGTGAACATTGCACACAAAATTGGTGAGTTCACGTTATTGAAAACGTGTTTGTGTATGTGTGTGTGTATTAATGCATCCACGAAAGTGTGTTTTTAAGCAAATAATTTTACTGTGACTAGCCGGATCGAACCCCGGATATTTTAGCACGTCTCCTGACAATCCCGCCAAAATTCCGATGCATTAATGTGTACTGAAGACTGGTATTCCAAACGGAAGGAGAATGAAATTAGTCCTGTAGTTTCCATGGCTACGCATGTTCGCATCAGGTGTGACATGTCCAGAAGTACTGGACACCTGGTGTTTGAAGGATTGATAGCCAAGTGGAGTAAGGCGCCTCGGAATTTTGGCGGACTTCTCCGGAGGCGTGCTAAAGATCAGTTGTAGGTCAAACGCCTAACTTCACTATTTCAAAAGAACCCAAACTCTATGTAATTACCAGGTTCACATTGAAGTATATCCCTGGGCATAATTTAGTGAGAAACGAGCCCTCATAAAGACAACTGTGACTGAGACATCCTCTCACGTAACCACGTTGCTATGTTAACATTTTTTTTTGTTCTTCGTATTTATTGCGAACAGGGATCGATGTATGTAGATCAACTATTCTTCTTTAGTGTGCACTGCAGAATTCTTGGTATATGAGGGTGTATATGTGGGGAGGAAGAGGACCAGTTGGTGGAATGATGAAGCAGAGAGTGAGAAACTTAGTATTTGAGACATTTTTACAAAGTAGAAGTGATATACGAAGGGTTGAGTATATTGAGAGTAAAAGAGAGGGGTAAAAGAGTGGTGAGGGAGTGTTAAAAGCGAGCAAATGTGAGAGTGAGGTTTTATCAACAAATTTTAAGGAGGATAAAAAAGTTTTGGTGCGAGATCAATAAGTTGAGAAAGCCTAGGGAACAAATGGATTTGCATTTAAAACAAAAGATGGGAGTTATTGGATGGGAAAGTTGAGGTTTTGAGAAAATGGAGGGAATAAACGTATTTTGAAAAGCTGTTAGATGTTGATGAGGAAAGTGAGGTATTGATTTCATGCATTAGCCAGGAAGTTATAACACCTTTTAGGAGATGAAGAGGCAGATGCGAGTGTGGGAGAGGTGCACGAGGCAGCTGTGGGTAGAATGAAAAGGGGCAAAACAGCTGGGATAGATGGGATCAAGACACACGTTAAAATCAGGTGAGGATATAGGTTTTGCACTTGTGTTCAGTAAATGTATGAAATAGGGACGGTATCTAGGGACTGGAAGAGAGCATGCACAGCTCCTTTGCACAAGAAAAAGGGAATGAAAATGTAAGAATTATTGTGGAATAAACCTGTTGAGTATATCATGTACAGTGTATGGTAGTGATTGCTGAAAGAATTATGAGTAAGCCAGAATAGTACTGAAGACGGTGGTGGTTTTAAGGAGGAGTAGGGGAAAAGTAGGCGTTAGACTGATGTATGTCACATGGTTATTTAACATATTTATGGATGAGGATGTAAAAGAAGGGAATGCTAGGCGGTTGGGAAGACGTGTGGGATTAAAAGATAGCGAATCTGATACAAAGTGGGAGTTATCGCAGTTGCTTTTTTGCCGGTGACACTGTGCTTTTGGGAGATTCTGGAGAAAAGATGCAAAGGTTGGTATACGAATTTGGGAGAGTATGTAAAAGAAGGAAATTAATAATAAACATGAGCAAGGTTATGAAAATAACAAATTTAGACAAACGATTGGTTATCAAATTGGAACGAGGGCGTATGGAGGAAGTAAATGTGTTCATATATTTAGATTGGACTTACCAGCAAACGAGCCTGTAAAAGATTAGGTAAATCATAAAATTAACGAGAGGAAAAAAGGTGGGTGGTGCATGGAGACATATGTGGAGATAAAGGAACTTATCCATTGAGGCAAAAAGGGGAATGTACTAGAGTATAGTGGTAACAACACACTTATTTGGAGGTTAAGCTTATGTTTAATGCGTTGCAGCGAAGACAAGGCTGGAGGCAGTAGAAATGTTGTGTCTGATGGTAATGTGTATTGTAAATATTATGCAAGACTTTTCGTAGTTTGGAGATTAGAGAGCGGGGTGTAGTTACCAAAAGTTTTATTCGGAAGGCTGAGGAAGGGTTTTAAGGTGGTTTGAACATTTAGAGAGGATGGAGAAAAATAGAAAGGACTAGAAGGGTATGTAAATATGAAGTCAAGGGCAGGAGGGGTAGAGTTCGTTTTAGGAAAGTTGGGAGACTGGGTATAAATGAGGTTTTTGTATACAAGGACATCCACCAGACATGTGTGAGCATATTAGCCAGGAGTGAGGGAAGGCAAGAGGTTTTTATGAGTTAACATGCAGTTGGAGTGTGAGCAAAGTAACATTTATGAATGGATTTGGGGAAACCAGATAGCCAGACACAAGTCCAAGAGGTGGGATGTACAGTGCCTACACTTTGAAGGAGAAGTGGGGATGTTGTAGTTCGGAGGGTCATCTGAATTGCCTTTCATCTGAATTGCAATTTTATCACTGTCTTGCCTCTGGCAAGACAGTGATAAAATGAATGGAGGTGACAGTATTTCTTCTTTTTCGGGTCACCCTACCTCCGCGGAAGATGGCCCAAGAGACGGTAAGGTTACTGCTGGTGCCTCTGAAGCAGACAGTCATACAGTTTGTGAAATCTTCCTATCAAGATCTTCGTAGCTCATTGATACAACATTTGAACTGCTGCGTACCTGGACCACGGTTAGTCCCCATACATTCTTTTATTTTTTGACAGGCGTTCGTTGCAATTTGTATAATTTGTGAAATGGTTCAGAGTAACCAGTTAGCCAAAGCTTTGAAGTTGGTACGCACAGTGTCTGAACACTGGGTGGGAACCATTCATTTCAAAGTGTCTTTGAGTTATATCCTCGCACTTCTGGCAGGGCAGTTATTTAATAAACATTGGTGAATACTTTTAATTCTTTCGGTAGTGCAACCTTGGTGGGAAATGCCCAATGTGGAGAGAGGGGATGGGAGAGAAATAAGCAACCTTACATTGTAATATATTGTAGTTAACCAGTATGTCTCCCGTCTAGATACAGAGACTTGAGGATCTTTGCTAAGGTTCTTACAGCAGTTCAGCTTCTTTCCTCAGCAAACATGGGGATACTTTAGCAGATTTCATGGTTCTGTTGTATCCAGTTTCTTCAAGGTGTTTTTTCCTTCACTAGTTTGTTGTCTGGATGTCATCTATGTTCATCTGTCGTTGCTCCCATATTTTCTGGTATTTCTTGTTCTTCTAAACACTTTGTATATCTGTGAATTTTGATTTTTTCGTATAACACTCGTCTAAGGTAAGTGTTTATCTTTCACTCTTTAATCTTATCATTTGTTTCTATATTTCGTTTCTGTGTGGCTTTTAAGTAGTTTCTCTCTGTTTTATCCTTTTAAAATTATCTTTACAGCGCCCCTACCTACCCACGCATAACCTCTCCTTGATTTACCTGTGCTTCATAAATATTCCGTTTCTGGTATAAATATTTCCTTGACTTGGTAGTTTTTGTTTGTGGTTTCAGCACTGTCTCGAGGTGTCTTGCACTGTAACATAAACATAGGGTGGATGTGCGCATTTTTCTGCGAGCTGCACCAACACATTACTGGGTTCACTGTGGGCGGTGACCACCGGAAATAACACATTATCAGACCTACCAAGGGAGTTCACCCCAGGAAACAATACATTACTAGGACTACACGGGGCGTTGACCCCAGGAAACAACACGTATACCAGGACCACCAGGGGGACCACCGGGGGCGGTGACCCCCTTCTTGATTCGCCGATACTGCCGGCCCGGGTCTCTGCCAGTTAGCGACCCGGCCTTGGCTCCCTATCACGGGAGTGTCTGAGACATGCGTATGTCTGCCATGGGAGGAGATATAAGTACCTGGTCATCTTCTGGGACAAGCTGTCCCTAGGCCTATCCCCATTCCCCGCCCTCACGGGGCTCGTAGGGAGAAGCTAGGCACCTTGGGCTGCCACAAACCCCGCCCCACTGGGCTCGAAGGGTGTGGCAGCTACAAAGCTGGTGGGAGATTAGTCTTTAAAAACTTGCATTTGTGGTCACAGTGGTGCGTATGTTAACCTTCCTGTGGTGTATAAATATTGGATGAATCTTATTTAGCCAGCTGGCCCAGTGGCTAACGCGTCGGTCTGGAGTTTTATGACTCTCTGACCGCCGGTTTAATCCCCGCCCATGGTATGGTTTGTTTGCAATCGTATCATTACGATTTCGTGAGTCATGAGTTACAAAGCAGCAGACGATGTCATGAGGTGCAAAGGCAGCAAGCACTACAGGATCCTTTTGGAGCCACACCCCGTCTTTTGGCCGCAGCCCGAGCGCTGGGGAAGCTTGGGGATGCCTCTTGCTGTGTGTGCTGACTGCTGCTGCTTCACTTGTCCCTTACACTCTGCGGTGAGCCCCGGAAACACCTTACCAGGTCCACCGGGGATCACAACCCCAGATGGTGACCCCCCCCGGGTGGACCAACATATTGCTGTGGACAAACATATTACTGTGGACACCGGGGGGTGGTGACCCCCAGTGAACCCTATATTGAAAATAGCATAGATTAGGCCTGTATTTTTTGTGATCTTTAAAAACCTAAGTTAAGCACTTCAGTCTATCTTAACACGTATTATCATTGCGCTTAAATTTGTGCTGTCATTTGTTACTTGAGCAGCGCTGTATAACCCTTGTGGGTCATACAGCAGTATGACGCATGGGGTGACTGCGGCATTACAGCCTCAGCAACCTCAGAATCTCTAGGCAAACTGAGGCTACGAGATGACCTCTGACAAACCTTCGAGATTTTAAATGACTTCGTTTTCTATTCAAACATGAATATCATATTCCAGTGGAATATGATAAAATTACACTAAGAGGTGTTACGAAACTCCGAAGTAGGGTTAGAGCTACTCTGAGAGCTGTGCACCACTGGAATAATCGCCTCGCTGAAGTTCCTGGAACTAAAGCAATTCGCTCTTTTAAAAACTGGTATCGGGTACAATTTCAAACGGGACTCTACTCGGTAATATATTTAGAGGTGTAGGGGCCCTAAACAGAACAATAATTAGGGACCCTAAACAGAATAATTAGGGGTCCTTAACAGAATTAGGAACCTGTCTTGTGTAGTCGAGATAGCCTTTACGACTAAACCATACCACGGGTGGGATTTGAACCCGCGGTCAAAGAGTCTCAAAACTCCAGACCGTCGGGTTCAAATCCCGCCCGTGGTATGGTTTGTTTGCAATCGTGTCATTACGATTTCGTGAGTCATCTTTACGACTATCCCCTCAAGGGAGGTTCCTTGACGCTGATGAGGGGTTCTTGATCTGGAGAATTGGATCTATGCTCCTGTTCCCTGAATTAAGCCTGAATACCTTCCATCCCCCCCTCCCCCACAGTCGCTGTATAATCCTACAGGTTTAGCGCTTCCCCATGATTATAATAATTTACGACGATCTTCTGACTTAAGAAATAATCTTCCCATGCTGCTATTACTGAAAACCAAGCTTTGTGGACTGATAATACCCGGTGACTGCGACTCACGAAGACTTAAGAAACAAATAGTTAGGATTTGGGGGATGGGGGGCCTTAATAATTGGGGTCCATAGTTCGTCTATTGGTGAACCCGCCACTGATTCTACTGATCAAACTTGGAGGTGGCCCTGGGTATGCTGGTAGTAATTTCAGAACTGCTCAGGATGTCTAGTTCACGTCCAGCTGTAGCACAGTATCTAAAATTTGAAGTTGGTCTATTTGATACACAAACTGTACATAAGAGAAAGAAACTTATGACGACGTTTCGGTCCGATTTTAACCATTGTTATATCAATGTATACTATGGCAAACACAGCTGTGAGTGGCAGTGAAGCAGCAGCAGCAGTAGTAGTTGCAGTAAGAGTAGTGTTATTGTAGTAGAGGCAGATGCAGCCCGTGACTCTCACTATCCCTCTCCTACACAAATTTCAAGCCTATTTTTTCTGATACGGTATGCAATGTTTTTCCCCCATTTCTTGCTGACTGTGGAAAGAGGGAGTGAAGGATAGAGGGGAAAGGGAAGTAATAGAGCCTTATGATTTACTATAATTTCCTCAGCCATCTAGATAACAGTAATTCTCAAATCAGACAGAAATTGATAGTCCTTATCAGAAAACAGTTCAATGATTCGTTCTTACAAACATGGAGGTTCAGCAATTCATACTAACATGGGAAGGTTCAATGATCCTTTCATACTAACATGGAAATGTTCAACGATCCATTCATTCTAACATCTGAAGGTTCAGTGATCCAGCCATACTAACATGAACAGGTTCAATTATCCACACTATGGGAAGATTCAATGATTCCTTCGTACTGTCTCACACATGGGGAGGTTGACTGGTCATATCATACCGTCTCGCACATGGGGAGGTTGACTTGTCATATCGTACTGTCTCACACATGGGGAGGCTCACCGGTCATATCGTACTGTCTCACACATGGGGAGGTTCACCGGTCATATCGTACTGTCTCACACATGGGAAGGTTGACTGGGACTTTGGTATTATGTTCGTGGTAGTATCGCTGCGGCCGTCACTTACTAATATACGATACATGTTCACATGAAAGGAACTATAAAAGACAGATTGCCGTATTGCAACGGAGAGCACTCATTGTAATTGACTTCTACTGGGGAGTAGGGGGGAATTGAGGAATGAGAAAGGAGGAAACGAGGGGAGATGGGATACCTAGCTGCCCCTTTCCTTTCCTCCTTCACTTTGTTCCTCCCTCCCTCTCTTCTCCCTTCCCTTTCCTCACAAAAAAATTATTTTGCTACATGTTGCCTAAATTGTCAGTCGCAGCTCTTCAGTCGATGGCAAAACGACAAGCAAAACTCATTATTGTTTTCCACATTTTTAACAAACCCCAGAAAATAATTTAACTGCTAAGCGATCATTTTTCTTTCATTGTGGGTAGATGGCGTTAGATGACGTTTCATCTCCATCTCTTGTGCGTCGCTAGTCTCTTCATGTGATGAAAATCAGACTCGACGTCCTGAAAGCCTCGCCAGAACATTTGCTAAATGTATTTTTTTTCGTTTTGTTGGTACACTTTCTCTGACTTTTTATTGATGTACATTTTGATGTTAGCGACGATGGTTCTCCACAGATGTGGTCCATTAGATGATTGATTGTGCGTGCGTGCACGTGCGTAGGCGTGCGTTACATACGTATTAACTATAACATGTGTTTTGGTCTTTTGCTCTCCTGTGGTTCTTAGGCATATAGTTAAGTGAGCCGTAAACATACGTGTGTAGGTAAGTCATACAGACACGTATTTAGGTATACCATAAAGAGGCTTGTTTAGGTGAGCCGTATACTGCCTTGTTTAGGTAAGCCAAATTCACACTAAAATTTGTAACCTACTTGTAATTGCATATTGTCACAATATACTCTATATACTCAATACAGAGTAGGAGTAGGCAAAATACAGTTGCGGGCCATGTCCATCCCACGAAGTAATTTTATCCGGCATCAAACTGTCTAGCAGTTTAGAAAGCTTTACAATATCTCTAGTTTAAGAAAATTCATTTTGATTTGATGACGTCTGATCAGGAGAGGATGTTGGACAGTCATAGTAACAAGATCTTGCAACACTTGACCAACTAAGTGTATCTAAGTTGTGTGGGTTAGCTTGATCTCAGGACAGATACGTTTCATTCGTTCTTCCTCCTGTTAATCCCGGGGTAAGAGGGTGAGAGCACCACCTGTGCCCCAGCTTTCGTACCTTCTGGGGCTTGTCAAGCGTCACTTCACGGACCTCCTCCTCCCACCTGGCAACTTGTAAATATCTGGTCTTGTCAGCTTCTCAAATTCTCATCAAATTGGAAATGCATTTCCTGAGTTAATATTTGCTCGGTGATTTGTAGTTCCTTAACTTAATCTTTAGTTATTATCAATACTGTATTTTAATCTTTTCTATGTACAAATGGAAGACATGAATGTGAATAATTACCAAGAATTTATAACTAGGCTGTTGATATGGCGCGCTAAGCAAAATAAAATGGCCGTCCTTGTAATATAAAACATATACAAAGATGACATTTTATGGTTACTTTTAAACTAGGATGTGTCTACAAATGTTCTTGTGTTCAAAATAATTACACTACATAAAGGGAGTTAATGATGGGACTGCTGGAAGAAAGAATTGATGATAGGACAGTGGATAGTGGTATTATTGATGATGATACTGGAAATATTATGCCAAATGTTTGGTAAGAAAAGACCTGACAACATTATGCAAAATCAAACAGAATTTCCTGGAACTAGCTCTTAATCACATTGATCTCATATAGACAATGGTCATTATTGCTAAATTGAAGGAAAAACATCTGTATGTTCTGCAACTTTGGCAGAAGCTGGTAAATGATGAGTCTAGTTACATGGGTAAAGTAAGTTTTTTTTTTTTTAACATGTGGCTCTAGGTGGAGCTTTGCTAAAGCTCCGCAGAGAACAATGTCGGTAAATAAAAGGCTTAGTATTCACTTGTTCGTTCACGCAGCATCGGATGCCTGGCCAATAGTTACAATATATTTTTGCAGTTTGTATTATTTTTCAAGAAGTTCATTTGTTTCTTTGTAAAATTTGCCGGCCTTTAGAAAAGAACTGAATCAATGGCTGAGGTCTTTGCCAGATTCACTGTTCCTGTATCATTTTACTCCCGTTTATATATGAAAAATATTCAAGGGCTTGAGGAACGTGAAAGAGATTGCCATTTTACATTTTCGATTTTTTTTTTCGGTCTTTGAGTAGTTTTGAAGGGTCTGTATGATACCCTCGGGTTTTCACATCATACATTGGCACTGTGATGGGATGTACAGGGATGTCCTGAATGATTTCCTCGGGTATTCACCTGAAAAATGGGGGCGTCGAACCCCTTGAAGGACGAACTCGGGGGGGGGGGGGGTATGCCCCCGCCCGTACCAGCCCAGCCAAGAGCCCCACCCCAGGGCATCAGCTGCAGGATGTGCTTGGAGGATGAGCTTGAGGAACCCACGTAGGAAACCTTGAGGACGAGTGGGGGGACGAAAGAGAAGCATTAAATCCACCTGGAAAAAGGAGAGCTTGGAGGTTCAGCTCAGAAATTGGACCACAAACAGTATGGGCATGGTATGAGGGCGGGGCATACAGGTCGACGTGAGACCTGGGCGGGACTCTTAAGCTCAAGTTTTTTTTGGTGGGTGTACCATCCATCCCTTCGGGATGAAATTTTAGGGTGACTACCCTAGAGAATAGTATATATCATCGCTGTATGATGTCCCCAGCACACTGCGGATGCATCTACACAATCTAGATAATTAAAATGTGAGGGACTCTTCCTAACCACCGTGTATTACTATTATGTGACTTGATAAAAATCAGAACAAATGGAAGCATTGTCCCAGTAAGTTTTCTGCTCAGAACGTGCTGTCAACCTCGGGTATTGTAAGCTCAATGAGAGTTTATAAATTTTTTATAGCTTAAATATCAAAGAGCTTGGGTAGATGCGGATGCCGGGTAGAGATTGTTGTACCACTCTAATGACGCAACTATGTTAGTATTGACACGGTTTGTAAGATGCTTTTAATGAATTATTGAGAGAGCCATGTGATAAGACCCATTTACCTGATTTACCCTTGAAAATAGACACCAATTCTCCTTTCTCTTCTTTCTCCACTAGCCCAGTGCTCCCATTCTCGTCACCTTCCCCTCTCCACTTTCCCTGTCCCTCTTCTATCACTACCTATTACCCTCTAACCCTTTTCTTTTCGTTCCTATATTGCTTCCTCTCTCCATCTGTGTTTGGCTGTTCACGGGAGGCGCTGTTCCTCTGCGGGTTTTATCGTGGTTATGGAGATAGAGTTTAACAGTTTAGCGCAGTTATGGCCTCGTAGCTCCGACTAGTTTTATTCACCTGGCGTTTTATTGTCTGTGAAGAGTTGTGAAGGAGGGCCGGGAAGGGGCAGGGGAAGGGAGGGTCGGGCAGGGAAAGGGAGGAAAGCGGCCGCGCAAGAGTCCTCAACGGTGCACAGATACACGTAATATACGAAAAAAATGTTGGCATGGCCACATTAAGACGCGCCAATGCGCGAATGCCCAGGAACTACCGCGCATGTCCTAGCCGTATCACATACCAAGGCCCGAGCACGTATACCAGGGCGTAGAAACGCTCTCCCATCATTAATTACCAAATTTTTCCAAAAATTATCAAGACTTAACCCTGTTAACCTTAGTCTCGCCCATGTTTACATCCTATCTTTTCCAGGAGTCTTTGGCGAATGTGTTTACAGATTAATTAGCCTTCTTGCGAGGGGAATTGCTAACTAAATGCAAACATAATTATCATATTTTTTTATTTAACGTGTGCAAATGAGTGCATACGTTGTAATTATGAATATTTGCTTGTGTTGTAAAGCAGCATCTATATTTATTAACTATTATTTGTCGTATTTCTCTCCTTGATTTGTTCTAATGTTTTGGTTTGATTTGTTTACAGGGTGTTAAGATAATCTGTGGCGAGGCTAGTGCTAGTGACGCCAGCCCTCCCTTCTTAAGCCTAGCCACTAACAACACAGGTGAGTAATTAGTAATAATTTTAGTTCTTTGACACATGGTGTATGCACCGTATATATATAATGTGTGCGTGTATATATATATGTATGTCGTGCCTAATAGGTAAAACTGGCCAATTAGCAAGAACTCATTTAAAATTAAGTCCTTTCTAAAATTTTCTCTTTTACGTTTAAAGATATATTTTTTTATTAATGTTGATGTAAAAATTTATAATTTTGCACCAAAAGGAACTTAGAAAACTTACCTAACCTTATTATAACAAGCGCAATTTATTTTAGCCTAACCCAACTAAATATATTTTAGATTTGTTTACAATAATTTAATACTAAACAAACACAGTGAAATATATTTTTTTTCGTTAGGTTCAGAATGATTTTGGCGAAATTATTGCATACACAAATTTTCGCTTGTCTTATATGGCAAGATGAACGTTGCTATTTAAGCCAAAATAGCAAGTTCTGCCTATTCGGCACGACATTATAATATATATATATATATATATATATATATATATATATATATAATATATATATATATATATATATATTATATATATATATATATTATATATATATATATATATATATATATATATATATATATATATATATATGTCGTGCCGAATAGGCAGAACTTGCCATATAAGACAAGCGAAAATTTGTGTATGCAATAATTTCGCCAAAATCATTCTGAACCTAACGAAAAAAAATATATTTCACTGTGTTTGTTTAGTATTAAATTATTGTAAACAAATCTAAAATATATTTAGTTGGGTTAGGCTAAAATAAATTGCGCTTGTTATAATAAGGTTAGGTAAGTTTTCTAAGTTCCTTTTGGTGCAAAATTATAAATTTTTACATCAACATTAATAAAAAAATATATCTTTAAACGTAAAAGAGAAAATTTTAGAAAGGACTTAATTTTAAATGAATTCTTATTGACTAATTTTACTTATTCGGGATGACATATATATATATATATATATATATATATATATATATATATATATATATATATATATATATAATACCTATTTTAGGAATTAGTTTTCTTGTCTGGTGGTGAACAGGTTACATACAATCTTGATGAAAGTTATGTAGTTGATAGGTTTCAACCCCAGTTCACCAGCCTGTTAACACAGCTATCCTCCTATAGTTGTTGGGCACTGTAGTTGATCACCGTTGTTGATCACCGTAGTTGATCACCGTAGTTGATCACCGTTGTTGTTGGGCACTGTGAAAAATTGCATTTATCTGAATGTAACTAATTATGTACATAACAGTAAATGATAAAGATAATTATTATTTATCAATGTTACATAGACAAGTAGGAATTTGGGACACCTAGGTCGCAAAAAATGTCCCCCTTCGATACCTACCACTGTCATAACCACAAGTTGCTCTGGACCTATTAATTACATGAAATATACATACACCAGGAATACTGGTAAATATATAATTTGTGGACTGTATATTAAAAATAATAAATGGTTATATATATACACAATTACATAACAGAAGGAAAATGTATCTTAATATCACTCACCAATTTGACTGGAGATTAATGTGTATAATACTCAGAAAACCTCACTCTAACTAAATCTACGAAAATAATGCTGGCCAGAATTGCACACAAATCTAGAGAGCTTACCTGAGGTTCCTGGAGCTGTCTTGTCCAGTCGTCTGATATCTCAAGTTATGCAGGAATGCACATCCACCAATTTCGCCTCCTATTTGAGAGGTGTCAACACAATTTTAACCTCTAGAGCACGAAAAATTCTTCCCATTACACCAACGTTTGTACAAAATTCAAAACCAAGATGGCGAGTCTCGTCTGCCCAGACACAGGCTTTCCGTTTTCTATGACATAAATATTATTAAATACAGTATGGCCATCTATTTACATATAAATACTGAATTTCTGGAAAATATATACAGTATTTTCCACAGGCACCGTAGTTGTTGGGCACCCTCACAACTGCATTAATTGATAGGACTTGCTGACCAGTACTGTAAAATGACACTACGCGAAGCTTAGTGTCACAAGCGACTTTGTGCTCTAATTACGTAGTGTGTAATGACTTTAACCTTATAAACCCTGTAAACAAAGATTTACTCTGCACAGTGTCATGTCGACGCTGGAATTTGTTACTAAGGACTATTGGTGCGACTCGAGTGAGGAAAATAGCCTTTGTGATTTTTTTTTTTTTTTTTTGTAAAACCGTACAGATGAATTACAGACAGCTGATGTCGATTATTCGCACACTGGAAACAAGGGCATAAAAGGTGAGCAATTAAAATCAGAAGGAAATTAAAATCATTAGTGAGGTAGACGGGTGGAGGATGGTGTATGTAAACAGAAACTCGATTACAAGTGACAGAAGATACTTTGCCATCCTTGGAGGATGCTGAGTGAAGACAGGAGGAATTTTCAGAAGGGAAAAGAGAGATTGGACGGAGGGAGTGTGTCGTGAAGGGTGGGAGGAGGGGAGCGTGTCGTGAAGGGTGGGAGGAGGGGAGTGTGTCGTGAAGGGTGGGAGGAGGGGAGTGTGTCGTGAAGGGTGGGAGGAGGGGAGTGTGTCGTGAAGGGTGGGAGGAGGGGAGTGTGTCGTGAAGAGTGGGAGGAGGGGAGTGTGTCGTGAAGGGTGGGAGGAGGGGAGTGTGTCGTGAAGAGTGGGAGGAGGGGAGTGTGTCGTGAAGAGTGGGAGGAGGGGAGTGTGTCGTGAAGAGTGGGAGGAGGGGAGTGTGTCGTGAAGAGTGGCAAGATGCCGCATTTACATAGAAATGATCGAGTCCTCAGGAATGACTTTAGTTCTCGGTCAACGAGGAAGGGAAAGGGAGGAACGAAAGAAATAGATAGGTAAGAGGATGGAAAAGTTCTTAACATGAATGAATACTGCGTTAAATTCTACAGGTGTCGGTAAGATGGAGGAGAATTATAGCATTAAAGGTATAAAATACCGACAAGTTGGTGAATAAGACATGTGCATTACCTGGGTATCTTTGGTATCATCATTTCAGTACAGAGAATACTTAAAGATTTTTGAAACAGGAAGCACTTGAAGACTAGGTAATTAATCAGCCCCTCAGCCTAGGTGAAGGTGTTTACTACCTTAGCCTTTATAAATCTGAAGCATAAACAGGTCACGATGATGCCCTTTATCTGACACCCCTATAAGCGTTGATCTTTTTGCCTGTGCTCCAGATTCAATAAGACTGAGGTTGTGAAGCCTTCAGTCTAAGCTGAGGGATTAATTACCTCGTCATATACCGTCTCCAGTTTTAAGAACTTCCAGTATTCTCTGTATTAACTTAAAGCCACTGGTTGGTGAAACTTCTTCAGAATGAAGATAGCCAAGTTTTGCATATATTATTCATCACGATATATACATGATCTGTTTTTAATGGGAAAATAACCAACAAGGTTTCACATGTATGTCCTGTCGAAGAAATTACAGCCAACACCAGTTTTGGAAGGGGAGGATGAGTAGTCCAGTAGTGAGGCAAGTAATGTAGAACAGTAGTGATAAGACGAGGGTGAGATCCTGGCGAGGTTTATCACATGATAAGAGTGAGGTACTCACCACTCACCCACACAAGCAATGCTTCAGTTGCTCCCCACATATTACCCATTTCTCTCACATCTCGTTACTGCCCATGTAACAGTGTTCACTTCCTTTTTTCCCCCTCCGCTCTTTCTCTCTCTCTCTCTCTCTCTCTCTCTCTCTCTCTCTCTCTCTCTCTTCTCTCTCTCCTCTCTCTCTCTCTCTCTCTCTCTCTCTCTCTCTCTCTCTCTCTCCGCCCTACGCCTCTCTCCCCCTCTTACTCCCGACCCTCTTCCCCTCCAACCCTACTCCCCACTCTTCTCTCCACAGACTCTAACCCTTTTCTTGACATTTAAAAGCCAGCTGAACAAGCCCTTTCCAAATATCGCATTCAATTAGAAACCATGGTATTGTATACCATATTTATAGTCATCTCGGTTATTGACGTTTTGCTATTTACCTGGAGAGTTTACCTGGAGAGAGTTCCGGGGGTCAACGCCCCCGCGGCCCGGTCTGAGACCAGGCCTCCTGTGGCTTTATTAATACAAATTCAAGGACAAAATTGAAAGAGTAGAATTCTGTACAAAAGATGAGGTAATCAGTCCCTCAGCCTGAGGGACTGATTATCTCATCTTTTGTATATAGTTCTGCTCTTTCAGTTATGTCCTTGAATTTGTATTAATAAAGCCACTGGATGGCGAAACGTCTACACTAGAGATACCCAGATGCTTCACATGTCCATTTTTTTATCTTGTCGGTATTGTATACCATATATGTACATCAAGGTGAGCGCCTTGGTGAGAGTGAAGGTCTTCAGATCTATGGAATCGAAACAATCCTTACCTTGGTTCAAACCTCATTGCTTTCCTTTCCCAGGGCGCTGTTTGATCTCGCGGGTTTAACGCTTCCCTGTGAATGTATTAATTGAAGCAGTGCGCGCCAAAGATTGTAAGTTGGAAGCTTAATCCGCGGTACTCAGCAAAGCAGGTTAATCATGCATGATTACCCAACTTGCCTTGCCAATGTGCAGCAACATATCCATGAATTCAATTGCTGAGGATGATACTCAGTATTTTGTTTTAAACTCTCAAAACGCATGCATTGTGCGTGTTTAAAAGCTGATGGGGTGGATGATGCATGGATGGGCTTGTGATGTGTAGAAGTGGTGAGTGGTTGTGTGGATGGTGGTAGTGGATTTGGTAGTGGAGGGTGTATAGATGAGGTGGAGAGGATGAATAGCATGGGAATGATGGGGGAGCAGCTCTTGTAGTGGAAGTTGGTTGAATGTGTAGTCAACAAAGTGTGGACAGGAAAGACGAAGGTGGGATGTAATACCTCCTCGCAACTATCCACCTCACTTCTCCACCCGTATTCACTTGTGACACGACGTATCTTAGCGTGGGAAGAGGTGACGAACGTCTGTACGTCTGTCTTATATCTCTAATCCATTGACATATACT